TAGTTGCATATGGGTATCTCCATCTTGTCAATGAGGAAGCTTTTTTTTACACAACCTATTCCATAAAGAACGTATAAGTACATTGACATAGGCTGAAGGAGCCTAAAGATGTCCTGTGTGGATCATGCACCTTGGTGCTGCCTGTGGTTTCTGGGTCACTCAGATGTCCCCCTTTGCCAGGGCTGGTATGTTTACTTGTATAATTAAAGTGTCGTCGTGATTTGTTTGTGCTTCATTTCCTAACGTGTAGTACTTCCCAAACTGACACTGGCTTGACTTGTTCCTTGGGTTTAAGCAAATTTGAAGCAAGAAGATGCCAAAAGTTGTAGGGAATAGAATAGAGAATGGCTTGATAGAGGGGTGCCTCAAAGGGATGCCTTTTCCAGTGGTTTCATCTATGATTATGCAAGCATCAGAGTGAAGATTTCCAAGTGTGCTTCATTGCAAAGCTGCGTGGGAAGGTGCAGAAAGCACCCGCACGTTGAGAGGAAAGCGTAGGAGCAGGGGAGACCAAGTCCTGTGTCTGGGTAAAGCCGAGGACATCGCCATGCTGGCGTGGGCTCATCAGTGCCACCTTTTGGGTGGAAAGAGGCTTTGAGGAGAGTTTGTGCTCATCAGCCATCGACGACCGCTTTTGGTGAAGGGAGAACCGGGGAGCGGGGGGCTGTGGACCAGATCCGGGTTGTGTCCGAGGCTGCAGCTATCTGGATGTGGTGCGTTGTCACTTGTCACCCCCCTTTGAAAGGTCGGATTCTGCTTGGCTTGTGGAAATTGAGCCTGATTCTGAAACAGCTCGAGGGAAAAGCAAAGGGCCCGGGAGCGACTCAGAGGGGAGAGGCTGCCCAGGACGGGTTTGTGCTCCCTGGGGAGGGAGAGCTCCGCGGGGACGCTAAACCCGGCGCATCGGGGCGCCCGCAGCCTCGGCGTTAAGCCCGACCTGCTGCTCCGTGGCGCGCTCTCTTGCAGAACCCGGAGCACGAAGTTGTGAAAGGGAATTTCAGAACAATAAAGGGAAATCCTTTGCCTCCCGTACAGCCCAGCCTGGGAAATTCACCCCGCAAGAAGCTGCAGCCTCAAACGCTGCTGCTGGCATTTAAAAGAGAGCGGGTTAGCTTTATAACCAATAAAAGATTTGAAGTTATTTGGCAAGGACTTGATCTCGATGGGAATTAAGTTTGGGGCCGTCTAATGCTCACCACGCTCATCTGGAAAGAAACTTTTCAGCCTTGCAGAGCAGCGCACAACCGGCCAGGTTTTCGTCTGCTTCAGAAGCTGTACTGGTCCCAGCCAGAGGCGCGATACTGAGATCGATCGATCGATCGCTGGCTTTGTTTCTCCGCGGCTCAAACAGTAGCGCGGGAGCGTTAGCGGAGCCGAGTTCCCCGCAGCCCCCGGGCGGGACCGCGGCAGGGCAGGGCGA